ACTCACTAAGCTTTGGCTTACAATTTAAGTTTTATGTTTCAGGTACTTTAGATGATCAGGGCAAGGAGAAGGCTTGATCGCGCACACCTTCAGCAACACGAAGCCCCATAGTTTGATGGGGTCAAGGACCCGATTGTGGTTATAAGATAGATTTCAGATGTAGAGAGTTGTTTCTTCACCTGAGTAGAGGATTGTACTCAGTCAAATTATAGATTTCGAAAAGTGTTTATAACAAGATCCATGAAATTATCCGAGTCATATTGATGTTTTAAAACTGCTTTCTAAAAAAAGGACCAAAACCTGAAATGGACTCGAATCTTATCGACGATGTTTTTTGTAGAGTGAGAGAGAGAGAGAGAGAGAGAGAGGGAGAAAGAGAGATTTGTGGTCGATGGTTCTGCGCCACTGACCGCCGACGGTTCTAGTGGTGGATGAGTGTACGAGAGATAGATTTGTGGTTGGATTGCAGGTGTGGGAGAGGGGCATAGAGTTGAGAGGTGGAGTAGAGGATATCCATGGAGGAGGGAGTGCTAATGGTAGTTTTGGCATAAGTGTCACTAAGAGGTGGAGTAGAGGAGATCCATGGAGGAGGGAGTGCCGATGGTAGTTTTAGCATAAGTGTCACAGATGACATGAGGTGGAAAGGGTGGCATGGACTACGAAAACGGAAGAGACGGGGAACTGAGGTTGATGTGGAAGCTTATAGTTTGTATTCAAGTAAAGGGAGAATTTTATGTATGCCCTTCTTAAACATTAAAATATCATATTTACCCAACTTAATTTCTAAATATCATATTTACCCTTCATAAATTTTCTAAATATCTTATTTACCCTTTATAAAATATCAAAATATCATATATGTCATTTTTAAACGTCAAAATATCATACATGCCCTTCGTAAATATCAGAATATCATATATGCACTTTTTAAACATTAAAATATCAATGATAATATCTAAAATATCCTCCATCTAGAACATAATAATAATCAATAACAACAAAAACTAAACAATCAAAATATACATTTTATAGAAAGGATTGAAGATGAATCTTTTTGTTTGTCAAGAGGTCGACATTCTAACAATTTAGAAGTTCACATTTCATTATCATAGACGTAAGGATAATAAGGTTAAATTTCTTAATTATTATAATAATTCTAAGGCATAAAAATGATTATAAAATATTAAAAACATTATAAAAAAAATGATTTGGGCAAATATGATATTTTGAAGATTTATAAAGGGTAAATATGATATTGAAAAATTAAGTTGGACAAATATGATATTTTGAAATTTAAGAGAGATATATATAAAACTCTCCTTAAAGTAGAATAAACATAAAATGCAAAAAAGAGGGGTAGAATTGTTATGTTACAAGTGTTTAACAAAATTTAACGGACATTAAAAGAAACTAAAACTATCGGATTTGCCAAACAATAAAGACGAGTGATGTCAAATTTTCAAAACTAAAACCATGGAGATTGTTAGATTGTGTTATATCAAAGACCAAATTTGTATAATTTACTCTCAAATTTATATTTTCAGCCATTTTTAAGATTCATGTTTTATAACAAATTTTTTTAGTATATATAAACTTTCTTTAAAATTTCAAATGGCATTATCCTTCGTAATTAAAATATGTGCACGTAAACATTGTTTAGAGCTTAATACATTTCTTGAAATTTCAAGTATTTTTGGAACCAAACCTTCTAAACATTCTTTTCGATGGTATATAATAATACTTACGTCATGTTTATCTTCTGTTTGTCTGATATAAATTTTTTTTTTTTTTGGAATGAATGCATTTACCGGATCTAGATAATGATTATTTTACATTCCTGTTTAAAATAATAAATTACCGTTTCTTTAATATTTGTTATAAAATATAAATATACAAAATGATCATTTATTTAAGAACCGTTATAAATTAATTATAAATTAAGAGTATATACCATCACATTATATAACTTTTAAATTTTAAATAAATTAAAAATAATTTTATACTTAACTAATACATTCTAATAAATAAATCTAACATATTCATTATACTAAATTAATATGAAGAAAATTAAACGTATATTTAAAAAATGTCCCTCGTTGCAATGAATTAATATGTTTATATAATTGGACATGAAGCATGTTGCTTTTTATTCTCTTTTTATTAAATGTACCCTTTTAAGTTGTTCTTTATATATATATATATATATATATATATATATATATATATATATATATATATATATATATATATATATATATTGTTATCCTTTGTTTTGAAACAAAAAATCACGAACGTTGCCAATAAAAATAGTTACGAGTAAAGCATACCCTCTTAATTTGGAGGAAATCATAAGTGGTGTGGAGAATAATTTTACAAAACAAATATAAGATTAGCACATAATGTTAAGAACATCTATTTTCCAACTTAATCCACTAAGATAATTTGTTAATGGCAAGTAAAAAAACGGTCTTATATAGTTGAACTTATTAAATTTTCTAAGAATTAAATTCATTAAGTCAAAAAGGAAAGGCTCCTTAGTAAGCTCATGCTTTAAATCACCACCAATCTTTAAAGTTGCACATTAAACATTATTTTTAGTTTAAACTTGGTTTTTTTAACTTGTCTTTTATTTAAGTAAACTAAAAAGAAGCCAAGAATTATATAACAAGGAACCATTAAACACCTTGTTCATAACTTCATAACATTAGGATGAAAGGGGTGTAAGAATTTACAATTGTCAAATGCCATCATCAAACATTTTCTTGTTGACTTCGACCAATTTGTGCTTCATTACTAACCCAATAATTGCTTCCATCTGGCCCAGAAAGCTTAAACCTGCATAAACTCAAGATCAATTATATTAACATTGTAATCAAATAAATTTCACAAAATTACATAATTCTAGTCTCATACTAACCTCTCCAAAACCGATTTTCCCTCCTTGTACTTTTGATTCTTTTCATGAGCAGTTTCCTGTTATCAAATTATATAGTCACGTTTATATCAATTTTATGGTCGCATCTACAAATCAGAAAAATGCGACACATAAAATTATTTAAAAAAAAAATTGTAAAACGGTGAAAACACAAAGCCTCAAGATTTTACATATGTCCATCCGACAATTGATCCACATTTCACACAGAAAATGTCAGCAACTGTGTGTAATCCTGTCATCATCATTCTATCTTCTTTTACCCCAACTGTCACATTTACTCTGTAAGAGTATAAAACATGAAGAAATGCATGGTGACATCCACATTGTCAAAAAGGCATTTCAAATAATAATAAAAATAAAATGAGCAATATTAGCATTAGGAGCAATGAAAACTTACACCTTACTGAAGAGATAGGCTTTCCCATGTCTGCAATGGAAGGACTGGATGAAAAAGGGGAAAGGGTAAACCCTAATCAGCAAAGTTCTTTAAATCAAACATATCAACACGCTAAGAACACCAAGAATTTGCCGTAGAAACACACAAACTAGCAAATTTTGTGATGTAGATAACCAATTTCAATCCCAATCCACTGGAATTCACATCGTTTCTTCACATAGTTCAATGCAACCAGTTGAATTAACTTGCAATTTCAACAAGGAGTTATTTTTGAAGGTTTTTAGGTCAATTTAATGCAGATACAGATTCTTAATTCTAATGTATTCAAGTCAAATTCATCATCGATTGAGATTTTGTATAACAAAATCAAAATCAGAACATGGGATTTAAAAATTGAACGATAATCTTCGAATTCCAGAAGATGGATGGGCAGAATCGATCAAAAATAGCATATCAGGATTGAAAGAACTGAACTGACCTTGGAAACAATGTCGTCGCAAAGAGCAAGTTGGGTTTTGCAGTGCTTACAACTGTAAATCTTCCCCTCCAAGGTTACTAAGAACAATCTGCCCATTTCTTCTTAGAACGTTGGATTGAAGAAGAGAAGAAGAAGAAGAAGATGTGAAAAGTGGGGAAGAAAGACAGTTTTAAAAGCATTCAATCATCAACAAATCCACGCAATCTGACCCCAGTAATATATTTTTGCTGGTATGTGGATCCCACCATCATATTCAGGATACATTTATTTCTCAAGGTGCATCTTAAGTTGCAGAGAATACAACATAACATGCAGAAGGTACAACTTTTATGCGTAGGTTACAACAGTACAACTGTCTGGATAAAGTTTACCACCGTTCAGCTATTTGGACCCTAGACCTTTTAATAATTACTTTAATAATTACTTTAATTTTTTTCTTAAAATAAACTAATCATTACCAAATAATTATCTTTTTATTAATTATTATTATATAATATTAGACCCTCATGATTATTTTATATTTTATTTTAAATAAAACTAATTATTACATAATAAAATGGCTTAATATAAAGATTTGTTTATAGAAAAAAAATATTACTTTTATAAATAAGTATTAAAATAAAAATATACTTATTTTTTTTCAAATATACAAAAAAAGTATTTTAAACAAAAAAAAATTTAATTTATTTTCGGTTTTTAGTGCAATTTATTAAAATCATTTTTATATAAAAGCATAATAATAAGTGACTTCAAATACGATATAATAATAATACTTAGTTTTCATTTAAATATTTAATATCATTTTATTTTTATTTATTGGTTTATATAAATATTAAAATATATAAAAAAATTGACATATTTGTATTATTATTTGATTATAAAAAAATAAAATATATAATAAATAAAAAGTTTATAGGAATTAAATGATAAATACGAGTTTCAAAAAAAATTAACTTTTAGTAATCATAAAAGCTATTAATATTATAAATGCACGAAAATTTATGCTTAAAAAGTCATTAATGAGGGGTCCTTTAAGAAAATCTAGGGTCTAATTAGTAGGACCCTTTGCGAAAATATGTTCTCTTTTGATAAAATACGTTAAATAATCTTTTTATTAACATTGAACTTTGCAAAAATATAATACTAAATCTATTCTCGGAAGTTTGCCTCTGTACTATTTTTCTCTCGTTATGGAGCTTAGATCTGTTTTGGACAGATTAGAGTCAATTAGGAGAAATTTTTTTTTGGGAGGCTGTGAAGAAAGACGCAAGATTAATTGGGTGGCTTGGAATGTTGTGCTAGGGCCTAAAGGAAATGGAGGTCTTGGTATTGGTTCTCTTGAATCATTGAACATTTCTTTGCTTATCAAGTGGTTATGGAGGTTTTATGATGAAAGAGATTCTTTATGGAGGAGGGTTATTTGTGGAATTCATAATTGTGAAAGGAAGCATGTGGACAGGTGGGCCAAAAAATCGTTAGGTGGGTGTTGGTTTAATATTATCAACGTCGTTTCTCGTCTCAACGACTTGGGGGTGAATTTCAAGTCTACTTTTGACATCTGTCTTGGGGATGGTAAGAATACTTTGTTTTGGTTGGATGATTGGTTGGGTAATGGTACGATGGCTTTCAATTTCCCTCATCTTTTTGAACTTGACAAACGAAAGAGCTGCTTTGTTGCGGAAAGAGTTGGCTATGATAGGCTGAAGTGGGATTGGAAAAGGAAACCCAACACTGTGATTGAGCGTGAGGAGTTGGATTTATTAGTTAGGCTTGTGGAACGGGTGCAATTTTCTTCAGAACCTGATAAATGGAAGTCGAGATTTTCGGGGGATGGAGGTTTCTATGTTCATGACTTGCGTAGTGTGATTGAGGATTTGAATGCCCCTGTTGTTTACAACCCAACGGTTTGGCTTAAGATTGTTCCACTAAAAGTTTCAATTTTCGTTTGGCGTGCATGTATGGATCGTATCCCTACTGCGATGGCTTTGGCGCGTAGAGGTGTAAATGGTATATCGACGTCTTGTTTACTTTGTAACGTGGGAATTGATGAGGCGAACCATATTCTTTTGCATTGCCCTGTTGCTCGGGATGCGTTGATGTGGCTGCTTAATTGGTGTAACATCCAACCGCCTGCTTTCAATGGTGTTGGGGCACTAGTAAAATTTGCTGGGTGTTGGGGTTCCTGCCCGAAAAGAAGGAAGATCTTAATCGCCTTATGTTATGGGTTCTTATGGTGTGCGTGGAAGATAAGGAACGAACGGAGGTTCAACGACACTTGTAGTTCGCAGTCAAAATTGGCGGATAATGTTGTTTCTTTAGTGTTTGGTTGGGTGAAATACAGGGGAAATTTTGATAGTTGTAAATGGGAAGATTGGTGTATTTCCCCTTTTAATGTTTTGTAATTGTTTTTTGCCCTTGCCTTTTCCTTTTTGGCTTCGGGCTTTTTAATAAAATTTTCACCGTTTAAAAAAAATAATACTAAAACTGTAAAATAATAATCTCACCAACCATCTTCCATGACTCTTTTAAGTTTTAACATTTTGGAAAAAGAATAAATAAATTCATTGTCAAATAATTTACAAAACAGAAAAGTTCGAAAACATAGATCTATAACCTCCCAAAACAGTATGGTAAATTCTTAGACAATTTAAACTAACTAGACCATTTGATTATTTAAATTAATCAATCAGTATAATATATCTTTAATTAAATAATAAATAAAATAGGAAAATCTCCAATAAAGTCCTAAAATTTTAACCCGATTTATGTTTTAGTCATAAACTAATTTTTGTTTACGAAAAAGTTCCAAAAACCGGCAAAAGTTTGATTTTGACCCTTTGACTGGTTGGAACCGGTAACAAATTAATTTAGGACTATTTCATAAATTGACCCAAAATATTGGGACTTTTATGCAAAAACAAAAAAATATTAGGATTTTTCTGCAAACAAAAACCTTATTATTATTATATTAAAAATATAAATAAGTATACTATTTTTTAAATTTGTTATTATTAATATTATTAATAATACATATAAATACATTTAAATTAAAAAAATATTAAAGATATTTTATAAAGGTGAAGGTTGAGCAGATGATAATGCTTTAAGCTTTGTAATCATGAATGTTTGTTTGTATATTCTAACTTTGTATATGGTCATTTCACATTTGTTATTATTGTTTTTAATTCAAAATATTAACATTTAACAATTTAAAAGAAGCTACTGATTTTTCAAATTGTTTACAAATAGTGAGCATGTGATATGCGTGTATGTCTTGTGTGTAAGTATTTTTGAATTACCAACATGTATGTTGCTCTTTTTCATTACTTTATCCTTGTGGTTTTTTTGAAAACATAGCAGATATAGTGTGATAAAGCAAAATAAATCATATTACTTTCTATTAAATAAGATATTTTAATTAATATTTTCGAATTTTGATATGAGCCACCAATGTAAATATTTATTGTGGATCTGTTGGATTTGAAAAGAAATCATTTTACCTTAAGACATTTTATATACAAAGTGATAAATCCTTTTATCTTAAACTATTTATACATAATTTTATAAATATGTAACTTTTTTTAAATTGTTAAGTGTTAATATTTTGAATTGAAAACAATAACAAGAAATGTGAAATGATCATATACAAAGTGAGGACATACTGATTTTAATGCTTAAAGCATTACCATCACCACCACATTCACTTTTAAATAATTTATTTAATATATTTTTATTTAAGTGTATTTATATGTATTATTAAAAATATTAATAATAATGAATTTAAAAATTAGTATACTTGTTAATAATAATAATAATAATAATAATAATAATAATAATAATAATAATAATAATAAGGTTTTTTTTGCAGAAAAGTCCTAATATTTTTTTTGCAGAAAAAATCCCAATATTTTAGGTTATTTTGTGAAATAGTCCCAATATTTTAGGTTAGTGTATAAAATAGTTCCAAATTAATTTGTTGTCGGTTCCAACCGGTCAAAAGGGATCAAAATGCATACTTTTGCTGGTTTTTAGGACTTTTTCATAAACAAAAATTAGTTTAGGAGTAAAACGTAAATCGAACCAAAATTTTAGGACTTTATTGAAAATTTACCCATAAAATAAATAAAGAACCAAATCCTACCCATATTCTTCGAATCAAACATATCCAGTCCATTTACCTCCAAACCAGTTAGACTCTAGATTGGACTTTGGAGTGGATCTCAGCCCATATTAATATCCATAATAAAAAAGGAAAGTCGGTGGCCTGCTTTTCATCATTTATTCATCTTTTAGAATTAGTCCTGTAATTTTTATTTTTGTCACATTTTCCCTTTTAATTTATAAAATGATGCTTTATACCCTTTATGTTTCACAATTACACTTTTACCCCCTTTAACTTTTAAAAACTATTTAATTTACTTCCACACCTTCAATTTTCTAAAATATTGTGTTTACCCATAAATATAATATATATATATATATATATATATATATATATATATATATATATATATATATATAATCTAATTTTTTTTATAGTTACCATCTCTCAAATTTAAAAAATATCGCTTTCACCTCTCGATTTCGAAAGAGTTCCTCTTTTTAAATACATTATTGTCGCCGTAAGCTTACACCCCTTCATTTTCTAAATTTTCATGTTTAACCCTCCCCCCCCCCCCCCCCCCCGACACTATATATAATCTGATTTTTCTATTTATCGGCTTTATCTATGTTTTAGCATAAATTTTTCTATGTTTTCATGCTTTTTTAAGCATTTTTCTTGGCATGGATGTTATCCCTGACTTTGGTCTTTGACTTTTGTGTGTGACAACTTAATTCCTCCTAAACTTATATTGCTACTGAGGAGTTCTCCTACTTAAATCCATTATTATTGTCACAACATGCAGCGAGTAAAATCCTAGTTATATCTAAAAATATAAGGCTATACAAAATGATAATGTAAGCCTCTTCGTAAGATGATGTGCCAACCAACTCACTGGTGAAAAGTTATTTACTAAGGATGGTGAGAAGCTAGTGACGTGAGTTGGTGCGAGTCTGCTTACGGGACATCACAAAAGAGAGAGAAGACCTATCTATATATCTATCGTTTTTCTTCTACTTCTCACTTTTTTCCTACTAGTAAACACCGTTTTCTAAGGTTGGTAAGAAGTTAATGGAGTTGATATTGGCTTATGTGGTCCGTTCCTACATGTGGAGTACTTTTAGCCTAAGATACCTTTTAAACTTTCAACATTTCACACTATATTAACATTATATCACTTTCCACAACATATCTATCAAACATTTCAAATAATAACCCATAATCTAAGGGAAATAAAGATAGTTTGCATGGTGCTAGAGCAACAAACTCTTTAGTTTTGAAGACCTTGTGCAAAGGGATGTGGTGTAGCAACACCATGCCTGAGGCCATGTCAACATGTGTTGTTATGGGGCATGTGCACCTCATGGTCTAATTAGCAACAAAAATGGTGACACTAGACAACATTATTTTTTTATCGGTATGCCACCTTATGTTGAAGTTTGTGGGTTTTGAATCTTATTTCTTCGACCATTAGTTGTCGGAAATTGCCCTTGTCTTCTGCGGATACTTCCTTTACTCATATATTCCTTTTCTTTTGTGCATCTTAAGTTTTAACTCACCTATCCTACTTGATTATGTATGTAAAGCATAAACTACACAAAAACTAAAGTCTTTTTAACATAAAATATACCTTAATTGAAACCAAAGATTTACCCATTGATCATATGTATCTTTTATTCTTGCAAATGTATATGCTATATCTTATAAGCAAGGGGATAAGCCTCTTTTTATAGGTTGGTGTTTTTCAGGAAAGACCAACTTAACATCAATTAATATTATTGTTATTGTTATTATTGATCGTTATATAATTTTCAAATCGGGTATTCTTCTTTCTTTCTTTAACTAATTATTAAATAGATAAAATATTGCAAATCCTTAATCTTTAATAAAGTCCTTCCAAATAATCCCTTAATTCTCTTACTAATTAAATTATAAATTTAACATCTTAAGACTAAATATATATCGGATTTGTGGGTACTATAACTAATTTCTTCCTAAATTCACCATCGTATATAATGAAAATGTCAATGTTTTTTTAAATAAATTTTATTCAACATTAATGACCAAACACATACATATCAAAGTTGCATAGATTAGGTTCTGCTGAATGTACCTTGTGATTCCTATTATGTTAAAATGTCTACCTTAATCGTTATTTAACAAGCTTGGTTCAAATTTAAATGTGCATGGTATTCTTTAGATAAAATTTTGGGTGTTGGTGGTTATTGTATTCTCTCGAAATGAAATTCTTCAAATTGAAATTGAGATATGAATCGCTTATCTGTTTTTTAATGGTAAAAGTGATTTTATAGCAAAACAAAATCCACCAAAAAAGCTAGACAATGGACAATGTAATTGATATATATATATATATATATATATATATATATATATATATATATATATATATATATATATATATATATATATATATATATATATATATATATATATATATATATATATATATATATATATATACTAGCCGTTACCCGCGCACAGCGGCGGGGACAAATAGCTTCTTTTAACGATATTTTTTTAAAGAAAAATGTTATGTTCCAAAAGAAAGTTCACGTCGTGGGTGAGAGGAAGGGCGGTAGTCGTGATAGTGGTTGGTTGAAGGCGGAAGGAGGCAGAGCAGCTGTGGTGGTGGTGGTTATACTGTCTTGGTTACTGGTTAGGGTTCTTCGAGAGAGTGTGCGTATATTTCTTACTTTGAAGGGATTACGAAGATAGATATTATGAGATGACTTGTTACCAATGTGAGAGAAGAGATCCTCTATAAATTGTTGACATTGACCTTTTCAAATGGCTGAAGTGTTGAGATTGACGGGTTCAATTTGCAAATGAATTCTTCTATTAACTTGATACGAGATTTTTAGGGGATAAAGGATAAGGTTAAAGTTTTAATATTATTATATTATAAATGGGTTGTACTTCAAGCTTAATAGTTTGGACGTCTTAAAAAAATAATATTATTATATTCAATCTATTTATAGAAATAGTTAGATTTCTTTTATAAGTAGTAAAGATATATATATATATATATATATAGTCAAGATCAAATAAGAAGGAAATTTTTGGTAGGAAGGTAAGAAGTTTTTTTCCTACATATTTTTTTCGCGAACAAACAAAATGAATCATTAGATGATTCATTTGTAAGATGATTCATAAGAAAAAATTTCAAAAAAACATCTTGATGATTCATTTATACAATGATTTTGTTTTTATTCACTAGAATTGTCATAAAAGTGAATTTTTTCTTAATTTACTTAAAAATGAATCATAAATATGTTTTTT